GGGGGGGGGGGGCTCTTTTCTCTACATTTTCTTGCCACCCCGACGTACCGGGGGCGAGAAGACAGGTGCGGGAGAGTTTTGCCTACCTCAATGGCAATGGCGCCTTACGGGCAGTGCGAGTAGGCAAACACCCTCGCACCTCTTCTCTGAATCACCCGGTGCAGTGCATTCCAGCGGCCGACAGTCACAGCCCTGATTTAATTTAAATTTTGTTTTCAGGTCCCCCTTACACCGCTTGAAGTAATCTCTCTCATAGAAGATTATGAGGAGCTACAGAGGGTGCACGAAACCCTAAAGAAGGAGGCCGCATCAAAGGAAGACCAGCGGAAGAAAGAAATAGAGGTACTTGAAAAGCAGCTGGCTGCAAGTCAGGAGTTAAGTGATAGGAGAGGTAGGAAAATCAAAAGTGTAAACAATCAGATGAAGCGTATACACCTTAAAATTCAGAAACTTTTAGCAAAATCTCCTCAGGATAACAGTGTTATTCAAGTCCAAAAGACGGCAACTGATGAGGCCGTTTTCGCTATGCTAAAGAAAATGGTTGGAAAGGACAAGAAGGGCGAGAAAGGGTTTACTGATCCACATTTACGTGCATTTGCTTTAACAATGCACTATTACAGTCCTGCAGGTTATAGGTACCTTCGTAGAAAGTTCAAAGAATCTCTCCCTTCGGATTGCACACTATCGCGCTGGTATTCAACCATGGATGGAGATGCAGGCTTTACTCCATCGTCTTTTGACGCTTTGAAGCGTTTATCTGAAAATAAGGGTAAAAAGCTTGTTGTTGCGTTGATGGTGGACGATATGGCCATTCGTAGGAGGGTCAATGTTGTTGGCACAAATGTGACCGGGTTTCCCGACCTAGGAAAAGACCACAGACATCTTTTGAAGAAAAGGAAACAGAAAAAGAAAACAGCAGATGGTGCCCCGGCAGTAAGTGATGAGCGACCCCCTTTGGCTAAGGAAGTGTGTGTTTTCATGGTTGTATGTCTGGATCAAAGCGCAAAAATTCCGGTTGGGTACTTTCTACATGATAAACTGTCTGGTCCTACGCTTGCAGCTCTGGTTTCTGATTGCATGAAAAAGTTACATTCTGTTGGTGCAGTTGTGAAGGCTATAGTCACTGATGGCAATGCAGCCAATTTAAAAATGGCTAAGTGTTTAGGTGCTGATCTGGAACCAGTGAAGCGTGTTTACAGTGCAACTCCAGGGGACATGGGGTCTTTGGTGTTGTCCGATAAATTTCAACCCTATTTTTTTCACCCCTCTGACTCAACAGTAAAAGTATATTATATACTAGATGTATGCCACATGCTTAAATTAGTTCGTAATGCGTTGGGGGCACGAAAAAA